CCCACCTGAGGAAAGCCAGCTCCTCTCTCTGCCCTAACCGCTGGGAGGCTGGACTCAAGGCGGCATTACGCACGACCTGAGACTGTCGCCAACTAGTAGACAGAGGGGACACTGCCCAGCTGGCTTTTCCCTCGGCTCTGCCCGCTCGTCCACCCTGCCTTTGCTGGTCCCTCTCCCCGGCTGCTTCGCCCCCTCCTGCCCTCCTGTCCTTCCTTTTAAACCAAAGAAGGGCCTCGCTGGAAACACAGGTGAGGCCTGTTGTGTGCTTGGCCTTAGGGCACTTCACACAGGGTATGCTTTTTACAAATTGAAGGAGAGGCCCGCCCCCTGCAAAAAGATTCCCACTCACTTTATTAGGGCGACATCTCCCTACCCTGCTACCCTGCAGGCGTCCGCTGAGCCAGAATCGCCCCCCACAAATGGTTTACGGAACCGAGGCCTGGAGCCGCTGCTCAGGAACTTGGCAGTGTGACCCTATGACCGTCCAGGGCCGCCCCGACCTTGTGAACCGGTTTACTTACCCTCTGCGGGTATTTCCCGGTTGCAATCATTAAGAGGGGTGTGGTTTTTCTCTAATACAACAATGGCACGCCTTGAATTTCCTCGGGTTTCATTACGTTATCTGAACTTCGCTGCTTTCTAGTTGGCCCCCAACGCCCTCGCTCATCCAGATTATTTTCCTTCCCTCCCACTTCCTCAACTTTGCTCCGTGGGGAGTCCTTCAAACCACCCCCAGGCCGCGCCCCGTCGGTGCGCCTCCTGCAGCGCTCCTGCTGTGCGCGGGCGCCCTCTGCTGGCCGGGCGGGTCCCCTGCAGGCGCAGGCCCGCCGGGCTCGGAGGTCACAGGTCAGCCTTCCGAAAGCAACCTGCGGGCCCCCAGGTTCACCTCCGAGGAAACCCGCAACCCAGCGGGGAGCTCGGCGGGTTAGAGCAGCCTCCGGGTACCCTGAGGATGTGGTTTCCATCCCCAGTCAGGGCACAAGCGAAAAGCAGCTCAGAGAACGTGTACACAAGCGGAACAAGTTGATGTTTCTCTTTGTAAAATTGATTTTTAAAATAATAATTTCAAATTTGAGTAACCCCCATCCACAGGAACTCCAACTTGAAAAAAAATTTTCTCTTGCTCTAATTGACCGCTGGGCAATGAGCCTTAAGGTAAAATGGTTTCCTTTTTTAACCCTCACCGGAGGATACTTTTTCCGTTGCTTTTCAGAGAGGGTAGGAGGGAGGGAGGGAGAGAGAGAGGAACATCAATGTGAGAGAGACACATCGATCGGCTGCCTCCTGCTCCAGCACAGACCGGGACCCTGGGATTGAGCCTGCAATGCAGGGATGTGCCCTAATGGCTGGAATCGAACCCAGGACCCTTAAGTCCGTAGGCTGATGCTCTAACCACTGAGCCAAACCAGCTAGGGCAAAATTGTTTCATTTTTCAATCACCACTAACTATGCAACTTTAGCCTCAACTTGCTCAATAGGTAACACAGGCCTCCTACCTGCCCGGGGGTGGGGGGTGGGCATTAACTTCCTCGAGTACATTCACATGCGGGGCCTAGGGCCTAAGACGCTCATCAGTGCAGCCAGCACTGGTCCCAGTGGTCATAGACTAGCTTCAACCAGTGAAATTGTTCCTAAAACCAGCTGCATGGGAGAGCTGTTCTAATGAAGCAAGGACAATTTTTGTTGAAGGCCTGAATCAAGAACGTACTACAGGAGGGCAGGGGGAGGTAGGGGAGGGTACAGGGGAGATAAATGGTGATGGAAGGAGACTTGACTTGGGGTGGTGAACACAATATAATATACAGATGATGTGTTGTACAATTGTGCCTCTGAAACCTACCTAATTTTATTAGCCAATGTCACCCCAATAAAATCAATAGAAAGAAAAATAATGTAGGACTACATTTTTAAATCTTTTTTTAAAAAAATTATTCTAAGGTGTATGTTTTTGTTGTTGTTGTTGGTCTGTTTTTAAATCCTCACCTGAGGATATTTTTTCCATTGCTTTTCAGAGAGTGGAAGGGAGAGAGAGAGAAACCTCAACATGAGAGAGAAACATCGATTGTCTGCCTCCTACATGTGCCCTCAAGCCTGAGACCGAAGTACCTGCCCTTGATCAAAATTGAACCCAAGACCCTTCAGTCCACAGGCCTACACTCTAACCACTGAGCCAAACCAGCCGGGGGAGGGGGAGGCTGTGAAGTTTTATTACTATCAGGAAGTAGCTGAGGCCTGGCCGGGCGGGGCTCAGCCGTTGGCCATCCGCCTAGGATCCAGGAAATCAGGGTTCGATTCCCGGTCAGGGCACATGCCCGGGTTTCAGGCTCAATCCCCAGCAGGGGGCGTGCGGGAGGCAGCCGATCACTGACTCATCACTGATGTTTCCATCTCTCTTCCTCTCCCTCTCTCTCTGAAATCAATAAAGACATATTTTTTTAAAAAAAGGAAGTATCTGAGTCTTCCTGTTGGGTCAGGCAGAAATGGTGGGAGCCTGGGGCGAGAGTTGATCTAACCAGCCTCGCACCCCAGCAGGGGAGGGGCTAGCGAGGGAGTGGCCGGCGGCCTGGGAGCTTCCTTCCGGGATCTGCGGTCAGAGGCGGTGAGGACACAGCTCCGCAGGAAGTTTCACCACCCTGTGCGCAGGGCCCGGCCAAGGCATGACTGTGGCCGTGGCCGTGGGGCCGTGGGGCCCTGGGCAGCCCCGAGCTGTAGACAACAGCTTTAGGGTGCTCTGTGATGGTCTGCAGGTGACTGTACTTCTTTGGGCCTCTTTCAAATTGGAGGAGTCGCTGGCGGGTTAGTGTCTTTGCAGCTGATAAGGGCCTCACAGCTTGAACTTGGAGCCACACAGACCTGAGTTTGGACCCATCATCATTTTCAGCTCAGAGGTCACACAAACAAACAAAAACAAGCAAACACCAAAGAAAGCAGAGCTGAGAGAGCCCTGAGAGAGAAGGCTGTTTGTCTCAGGCAGCTGTGCCGGGAGCAGGGACTTTCTCACAGATGATATTTGAAACTTGGATATAATTCATGTACCATGAATTTACCTTTATAAAGTGTACAAGTCAAGGTCGTTGTTTTTGTTCTTGTTGCAAAGTTGTGGCACCATCACTACTGTCTAATTCCAGAGCACTGTCCTTTTTCTTAATTTTTATTTATTCAGTTTTAGAGAGAGGGGGAGAGAGAGAAACATTGACTTGCTCCACTTACTGATGCATCATTGGTTGCTTATTGTATGTTCATTGACCAAGAATCGAACCCAAAGCCTTGGCATATCCAGACGATGCTCTAACCACCCGAGCTACTTGGCCAGGACGTCCAGAACATGTTCATCTCCCAAAAAGAGACCCCCTGACCATCACTCCCCATCCGCTCCTCCCTCCCACAAACACAATGTTCTGTTTCTGTGGGTTTGTCTGCTCTGGACATTTCATATAAATGGAATCCTACAACACATCCCGCTTCTTCCACTCAGCGTCATGTTTTTAAGGTTTGTCCATGTCATAGCCTGTGTCAGCGCTTCGCTCCTTCTCATGGCTGAGTAATATTCCATTGTATGGATAGACCAGTTTTTTTAGGGGGGGGATGTTTTAATTGGATTTTGAGAGAGAAAAAGGGAGCTGGAGAGAGAGACACCTACGTGAGAGCAGGACATCCATTGGCTGCCTCCTTGCATGCCCCCTACGGGGGAATTGAAACCGGGCACGTGCCCTGACCCAGAATCGAACCGGTGACCTTTCGGTGCTTGGGATGACACCCAACCAACTGAGCCGCACCGGCCAGGGCTCAATTATCTTTCTTGCCATCAGAAAGGAGGGCTTTCTTGAAAGGGGATGTAGGAACTAGATAGTTACTGACTCCGCTTCCCACCACCTGAATTCCTAGAAATTTGTCTCCCTCTCCTGTGGCCAGGGGTGTGAAATTCCCCGAGATATCTCCCTCCCTTCCTGTGGCGTGATGTGGAAGGTCAGCCACGCGTCATTCGGGGAAGCCCGGGCCTCGCCCAGGCAGCACCCAGGCCAGCAGCACCCCCCTCCCCTGCCTCAGAGCCACTGCGGCCTCAGACAGCCCACTGCGCCCTGAGCTCCCCGGGCCGGCCCAGCTCCCTTTCTGTGCTCTCCCAGCCCCCAGGCTGCCTCCCCGGTCCACCCTGAAGGACCTTCCTCAACTTGGATCCGGGTCCCTCCCTCCCCTGCTCAAAACTCCGCCGAGCCACATGATGGAATATTATCCGGCCACGAAAAGGGAATTCCCACGCAGGCCGCAGCGTGGATGAACCTTGAGTACTCGGCTTAATAACGTCGAATAAGCAGATGTAGGAGGGCGCATGCTCTGTGACTCCATTCCCACGAAAAGTCCAGGATGGACAAGTTTATAGAGAGGGAAAGTAGACTGGTGGTTTCCTGGGGGAGGGGGGGAGCGGGAAGAGACCGTCTTCGTGGGCATGTGGCCTCCGGTGGGGATTATAAAGTTCGAGCCTGCAACCCAGGTACATGCCCTTGCCCGGAAATTGTCATTCTACGGATTGGAGAGAGAGGCAGGAAGGGTGCGGGAGAGGGAGAGAAACATCGACGGGAGAAGCGTCCGTCGGTTGCCTCCGTTGCACCCTGACTGGGGCCCTGACCCGCAACCGGGGCAGGTGCCAGGCCCGGGAATCGAACCTTTCTGTGCACAGGACCATGCTCAACCCACTGACCACACCGCGGACCACGGACACGCGAGAGGCAAGGACAGCGGCCGTCAGTCAGCACCTGGCAAGGAGAGTGACTGGCGGGGGCCTTTCCCACGCACAGAGGGACGCCTGCGGTGTCGCAACAGGTCCCCACTTCCTCTGCTCGGTGACACCGTTGGGGAGCAGGCGGCCGGGCGGAAATGGGGGGGGTCCTATTTCAACAGCCGCACTCTCCTGTCCCTCACCGCACCCTGCGCAGGATGAGCCAGGGGCCTGTGTAGAGACACTCCAGGCGCCATCTGCTCTCCCCGGGGGGTCAGCCGCTCCCATGTCCCCCACCGCGGTCAGGGACTGCCTGTGTCGCCTGTCCGCCTACCTGGAGGAACTGGGGGCCATGGAGCTGAAGAAGTTCAAGCTATACCTGGGCACGGCCACGACGGAGATGCTGGGGGGCAGGATCCCCTGGGGACGGATGGAGAGCGCCGGTCCCCTGGAGATGGCCCAGCTGCTGGTGGCCCACTGCGGGGCCCAGGAGGCCTGGCTGCTGGCTCTGAGCGTCTTCGATCGGATGCACAGGAAGGACCTGTGGGAGAGAGGACAGCGAGAGCCCCTGGTGAGCGGTAAGGCGGTGGTGACGGGACCCCGGGCTGCACCCCCCAGCCCCCTTCTCCTTGCTGAGCTCAGGAGGCCTGGGCCACCACTGCCCCCTTGGCCTTTGTTCTGCCTGGTGCTGCCTGGAACACCCTCCCTCTCTCTTCTTGGTCTGGAGAATTCGAATTTACCCATCCGATCTTGGAGGCGCTGCCTTCCCGCAGTTCCTCCTCTCCGCGCTCCGCCTGGCCTCACCCTCAACCGCCCTGGCTGGCCCAGAGGCCCCCACTCGCACGTGTCCTTAGCACTCATGTTTCTTTTTAAATTTTTATTTACTGATTTTTAGGGCAGGGGGAAGAGAGAGAAACATCTATTTGTGGTTCCACTTATTTCTGTACTCATCGGTTGATTCTTGTATGTGCCGTGAGCAGGAATTGAGCCCGCAGCCTCTTGGTGCAGGGGGCCAGGCCCTACCAGCGGAGCCACACTGGCCAGAGCTGGTGTTTTATTTTCTATGCACTGAACTCTCCATGCCATGAGGACGTAAGGTCCATGGAGCAGAGACCTTTTGTCTTGCTATGTATCCAATACCTAGAAAAATGCCTGGTGCCCAAAATGTGTGTATTTGTTGGATGGATGGATGGATGGATGGATGGATGGATGGATGGATGGATGGATGGATGACGGGTGAGACATGGCCGAGAGCTGAAGGGGAGGGAGGAGTTCAAGCTGACTCAGAATTTCTTGCCTGAGGAGGTTATGGGATGGATGGAGGTGCCAATCACCATGATGGGTACCCAGGAAGAAAAGTGGGTTATGAACTTAACCAGTGTCACCCCAGTAAATTCAGTTAAAAGGAAAAATGTGGGTTATGAAGAACAAATATTTTAACAATAGTGAACGTGAAGTGACGGCTGAATATTCTGGGGTGTGGGTGGGCAGGGAGCTATCATGTAGACATTTTGAGGTCATAGTAGCCAAGGTTATTGAGTGCTACCCAGATACGTGCCAGCTGATCTCCCCAAGTGTGTCTTCCAGATACTCCACCTGGTGGCCCGTGCTCGCTGGGGAGCCAGTCAGCATGTTCCCTGGAAGCCTTTCCCAGAACTCCGAGAAAAGGTGAGCCATGAGCCTTGACCCTGTCAGAGTGCACTGAGCACCATGGACCCAGCTATCCAACCGAGAATAGGTGAAAGGAAAACAGGCATTTATTGCACCTTTGCACGTAACAAGAAGTCTTAGGGTGGGGGCTGCAGAGTTCATGCCTGGGCTTAGGACACCATCAGAGCCCCAACTTCTCCCTGTGTTTCAGTTCTACCGACTTGTCATCTCACGGTTGCAAGATGGCAACCAGACCATCTCATACAGAAGAACTCAGAGCAGGGACAAGGGAGGCAAAGGCTTTCTTCCTGAATAGAAGGTCATTTTACCCAGGAACAAAATTATTCCAATAAACCCCCGAGTGTCTATACCTGTGTAACTCTTGGTCAGGACCGGGCACACGACCAACTCCAGGCCGGCCACTGGCAAAAGGGAATGAGATTCTCAGGACCAGGCTGGCAGGGCCCAGAGAGCCTCAGGACCGGGCCGGCAGGGCCCAGAGAGTCTCAGGACCGGGCCGACAGGACCCAGAGTCTCAGGACGGGGCCGGCAGGGCCCAGAGAGCCTCAGGACCGGGCCGACAGGACCCAGAGTCTCAGGACCGGGCCGGCAGGGCCCAGAGAGCCTCAGGACCGAGCCGGCAGAGCCAGCAGCCACCCCCCAGGGCTTCTGAGGGACATTCACTGGAAGCAAGGGATGGGCACCCATCACCTAAATAGACTCAGTTATCAGCAAGAAAGAAACAGGAATACGGGCTCTTGGGGAGACAGCAACACCACCCACAAAATGCACGATCCTGGACTCTTTCAAGAACATTTAAATGCATTGGACGTAGCACTTGTTCAATATATGGTAACTCTTCATTCTTGTTCTCACCATTATTTTAAACTTTTGTGTTTAAAAAAATTTCTGCCAGGCTGGCGTGGCTCAGAGGTTAAGCAATAACCTAGGATCCAGGAGATTGGGGTTCGATTCCTGGTCAGGGCACATGCCCGGGTTGCGAGCTCGATCCCCACTAAGGGGCGTTCAGGAGGCAGCTGATCAATGACTCATCATTGATGTTTCTCTCTCTCCCTCTCCCTTCCTCTCTCTGAAATCAATAAAAACATATTTTAAAATAATAATAATAAAAGTTTTTAATTGATTTTTTTTTTTTTAGAGAGAGTGAGAGCGAGAGAAACACTGATTTCTTGTTCCACCTGTCTATGCATTCATTGGTTGCTTCTTGTGTGCGCCCCATGACCAGGGAGCGAACCCCAAATCTTGGCTATCAGGAGGCCGCTCTAACCAACACAGCTAACCGGCCAGGGCTCAGATCTTTGTTACCTTCCCTTAGGCAGATACAATGGGCCTCTGGTGACATCCGAACACAAAAGGATTACATTTTTGTCTTTGTCGGGGTTTTTCCACCTGGCCCTATTGACTCTGGGGGCGGCAGCAGTCTTCGTTGTGGGGGTGGGGCTGTCCTGGGCCTTGCAGCATGTTGAGCGGAATCCCGGACTTTTATCCACTAGATGGCAGTAACACCCCCCATATTTTTGTGACAACCAAAAATATCTCCAGGTCTTCCTAAATGTCCCCGAGGGGCACACAGTCAGCCCGCAGAGAACCACTATCCTAGATCATTCAGACATCTGTACCGAGCAGGCTTTCCCAGAGGCTCGAGCAGAGGACTTCTAGGATGGATAGTTCTCCAGTGTCGAGAAGCATCTTCCTTGCTTCCAAGGGGACACGGAAAACTCGGGGTCACTGCTTCCTCAAACTTTCAAGGTGCACGCAAATCATGCAGTGGTCTTGCTAGAAATAGTTTCTGATCCAGTGCATGGGGAGTGGGCCTCAAGGTCGCGCATTTCCAACCAGCTCCCCGGTGCGGCCACGTGGAGCTTAGGTACCAGGCGGGCTGAAGTGTGCAGGTGGCGGAGGTTCCCGCATCCCTCTAGGGCTCATTGCTGGTCCTACACCTGCCCGACAGGCGATGGCCATACTGGGTGCACCTGGCCCACCACCAGCTGCGTAGCAAGGACAGAGCACTGTGTGTAAGAGCACTTGGCGCCCTGGCTGGAGAGCGCAGTTGGTTAGAGTGTCCTCCTGATAGCCAAGGCTGCGGGTCGGGTTCCCCATCAGGGCCCATGCAAGACTCCCCCAGTGGCCCTCCCAGTGTGGCTGGGACCCCGGGTCAGGGCACATGCCCAGATTGCGACCTCCCCCCAGTAAGGGGTGTGCATGAGGCAGCCCATCGATGTTCCTCTCCTGATGCCTGTCTCTCTGTCTTGCTCTAAAAGCAATAAAAACAGCCTGGCCGGGCATGGCTCAGCGGTAGAGCTTCAACTTAGGATCCAGGTGATCGGGGTTCGATTCCCGGTCAGGGCTCCATCCCCAGTCTGGGGCCTGCAGGAGGCAGCCCATCAATGACTCTCATCATTGATGTTCCTATCTCTCTCTCCCTCCCCTTTCCACTCTCTGAAGTCGATAAAGATATATTAAAAAAATTAAATAAAATCAATAAAAACATATATATACATTTTAAAAAACCACCAACCAATGAATGCACAAATAAGTGGAACAACAAAGGATGTTTCTCTCTCTCTCTCTCTTTCAATAAACAAACAAAAACCCCACTTTCCACGTTAATGCCTCCGCTTCCCACGAGAAGGGAAGGTGCTCACAGGGAAGGGAGCCCCAAGGTCGTGGGGCCCCATCCAGAAAGCCCTTCCGAAGACTCTGCAGGGCACGCGGGCCCTAGGCCCTGCCGCGCTCTAGCTCCTGAATTCGGGAGCGGCCGCTGACCTGTCCCGCACGCCCTTCCCTCCTCTCCGCTAGGTCCCCGGGAAGCCTACAGGGACTCGGTCCGCAGGCGGTTCCGGCTGATGCAGGACCGCAACGCGCGCCTCGGGGAGTCCGTCAACTTCAGCCACCGGTACACCCGGCTCCTCCTGGTCCAGGAGCACTGCAGTCCCATGGGGGCCCAGCAGAAGCTTTTGGACACAGGCCGGGGACACGCCAGGAGCGCAGGCCAGCAGGCCAGCCTCATCCAGGTGGAGACCCTCTTCGAGCCAGACGAGGAGCGGCCCGAGCCTCCGCGCACCGTGGTCCTGCAGGGCGCCGCGGGCATGGGCAAGTCCATGCTGGCCCACAAGGTGATGCTGGACTGGGCCGACGGGCGGCTCTTCCAGGACAGGTTTGATTACCTCCTGTACGTCAACTGCCGGGAGATGAACCGCGGCGGCCCGGAGCGCAGCGCGCAGGACCTGCTGTCCAGCTGCTGGCCCGAGCCCAGCGCGCCCCTGCGGGAGCTGCTCCGAGTCCCCGAGCGCCTCCTCTTCATCATCGATGGCTTCGACGAGCTCAAGCCCTCTTTCCACGACCCTCAGGGCCCCTGGTGCCTCTGCTGGGAGGAGAAACGGCCCACGGAGCTTCTCCTGAGCAGCCTGATTCGGAAGAAACTGCTGCCCGAGGCGTCTCTACTCATCACCACCAGGCCCACGGCTCTGGAGAAGCTCCACCGCCTGCTCGAGCACCCCAGGCACGTGGAGATCCTGGGCTTCTCGGAGGCCGAGAGGAAGGAGTACTTCTACAAGTACTTCCACAGCGCCGAGCAGGCCGGCCACGTCTTCAACTTCGTGAGAGACAATGAGCCCCTCTTCACGCTGTGCTTCGTCCCCTTGGTGTGCTGGGTGGTGTGCACCTGCCTCAAGCAGCAGCTGGAGGGCGGGGGGCTTTTGAGACAGACGTCCAGGACCACGACCGCCGTGTACATGCTCTACCTCCTGAGCCTGATGCAGCCCAAGCCAGGGTCCCCGACCCTGCAACGCCAGCCCAACCAGACCGGGCTGTGCTCCTTGGCCGCTGACGGCCTCTGGAACCAGAAGATCCTATTTGAGGAGCAGGACCTGCGGAGGCACGGCCTGGATGGGGCGGACGTGTCTTCCTTCCTGAACATGAACATCTTCCAGAAGGACATCAACTGCGAGAAGTTCTACAGCTTCATCCACCTGAGCTTCCAGGAGTTCTTTGCGGCCATGTACTACATCCTGGACGGTGGGGACAGCCGGTCCAGCCCAGACCAGAGCCTGACCAGGCTGCTGGCCGAGTACGGGTTTTCGGAAAGGAGTTTCTTGGCTCTCACCGTCCGTTTCCTGTTTGGGCTCCTAAACGAGGAGACCAGGAGCTACCTGGAGAAGACTCTGTGCTGGAAGGTCTCGCCCCAAATCAAGGTGGAGCTGTTGGAGTGGATCCAAAGCAAAGCTCTGAGCGAGGGCTCCACCCTGCAGCGGGGCTCCCTGGAGTTCCTCAGCTGTCTCTACGAGATCCAAGAGGAGGAGTTCATCCAACAGGCCCTGAGCCACTTCCAGGTGGTCGTGGTCGGCAACATCGCCACCAAGATGGAGCACATGGTCACCTCCTTCTGCCTGAAGAGCTGCAGGAGCGTCCAGGTGCTGCACCTGTACGGGGCCGCCTACAGCGCGGATGAAGAGGAGGGGGTGAGGCCGACTTCGGGGCGCCAGATGCTACTGGAACAGTCGTAAGTACCTGGCCGGGGCTCGCTGTCCACGCTCACGCTCCTGACCAAGTTCATGTCCTCAGCTGGGGGGTGATTTTGCCACCACCCAAGGGCATATTAGGCAATACCCAGAGAAATGCCTGGTTATCGTAACTCATCCCCTCTCACTCACGAGGACTAAGTCTGGGCTCATGTCAAGGAGATTGTGTTCAATCAAGAAATGGTAGCCAGGTACTTGTCCATCAATAAATGGGTGGATAAAGAAGAGGTGGTGTGTGTATATGTACATATAATGGAATACTACTCAGCCATAGAAAAGATGAAATATTGCCATTGGTGACAACGTGGGTGGATCTGGAGGGTATTGTGCTAAGTGAAATAAGTCAGACAGAAAAGAACAGGAACCGTATAATTTCACTCCTATGTGGAATGTAACACGAAAAGCGAACAAAAATGAAACAAAAACAAACTCATAGGAACAGGCAATAGTGTGGCGGTCCCCAGAGGGGAGGGGGGTTGGCGCAGGGTGAAGTAAGTAAAAGGGGACAAGCATATGGTGATGGATGGAGACCGGACGTTTGGTGGCAACGATGCAATAGAGTATGCAGATGTCGAGTTATAATGCCGTAGGCCTGAAACTTGTAATGTTATTAACCAATGTTACCTCAATATAAAAAAAATATATATCTTTAAGATGAAATTCACCTCCCATCCCTAGTCCAAGGATTCAAGTCTGGTCTCTGCTACTTACCAGCTACGTGACCTTGGGCAAGGAACTCAGGGTCATTCAGAAGATAAACTGAAGATGACAGCCCTGGCCAGTTTGGCTCAGTGGTTGGAGTGTCAGCCCTCAGGCTGAAGGGTCTCGGGTTTGATTCCGGCCAAGGGCACATACCTCGGTTGCAGGCTTGATCTCCGGCCCCGGTCACGGTGTGTGCAGGAGGCAACCAATTGATGTGTCTCTCTCACAGTGATGTTTCTCTCCCCTGCCCCCACCCCACTCTCTCTGAAAAGCAATGGGGGGGAAATCCTTGGCTTAGTATTAAAATAGTAATAATTCAATAAACAAATAAATAAATAAGCGAAGATGACAGGCCCTGGCAGGTAGCTCGGTTAGTTAGAGCGTTGTCCTGACTCGCCAAGGTTGCAGGCTGGATCCCTGGTCAGAGCATGTACACGAATCAACCAATAAATGCATCAATAAGTGGAGCAACAAATCGATAGTTCTCTCTCTCTCCCCCCTCCCTTCCACTCTCTCTAAAAGTCAATAAATAAAATGAAACAAACAAACAAAAAACTGGACTTGACCTGTGGTTCCTTCACGCAGACCCGAGAGGAACGTTCTGCCAGATGCCTACAGTGAACAGCTTGCCACTGCCCTGAGCACCAATCCGAACCTGACCGAGCTGGCTCTGCACCACAACGCCCTGGGGAGCCGGGGAGTGAAGCTGCTGTGTCAAGGGCTCAGACACCCCAACTGTAAACTTCAGAACCTGAGGTGAGTCTAGGCTGGCCTGGCAGCCCCTGATGGTCCCACCACGCCCTGCACCCCCATGGGGCTCAGTCAGACAGAGCGCAGGCTGGTGCGGTACTTTGCTCTGGCTGCCATAACAAAGTGCCCCAGAGTGCCTGGGTGACTTAACAGAAAGGGATTTCTCACTCCTGGAGGCTGGAAGTCCAAGACCGAGGTGTGGGCAGGGCTGGTTCCTCCTGGGGCCTCTCTCCTTGGCGTGTGGGTGGCCGTCTTTCCCTCTGTTCCCACACGGTCTTCCCTCTGCGTGTCTGTGTCCTATGAAGACACTCGCTGTATTGGACTAGGTCTCATCCTAATGACCTCATTTTAACTGAATTACTTCTTGTAAAGTCCCTTATCTCTCCTGGCCAGTGTGGCTTAGTCGGTTCAGCATCGTCCCATGTACTAAAAGGTCACCAGTTTAATTCCTGGTCAGGGCACATGCCCAGGTTTCCGGTTCGATACCCAGTTGGGGTGTGTGTGGGAGGCAACTGATCGATATTTCTCTCTCACGTTGATTTTCTTTCTCTCCCTCCCTCTCCCTCTCTCTCGAAAATCAATTGTTAAAAAAAGTTATACCAATAATAATAATCAACCAATGAAGGCATAGATAAGTGGACCAACAAATCGATGTTTCTCTCTCTCTTCCTCCCTTCCTATCTTTCTAAAAATAAAAAAAAACCCACAACACAATAAAACATGGTAGTGGCATAAAAAAGATGTAGACCAATGGCGCAGAATAGAGAGCCCAGAAATAAACCCGTGCCGATCTTCAACAAGGGGGCCAGGCGTGCACAGTGGGAGTGCCTTGGAGAGGCAAACTCGTAAGGACAGGAAGAGGAATGGGGACTGTCAGGGGCCCGGGGAGCTATTGCTGAACAGGTAGTTTCAGTTTGGGACGATGTAAGGGTTCTGGGGATGGGTGGTGGTGATGGTTGTGAACGATGGGACCGTGCTTAGTGCCACTGACCTGTCCACTTAAACACGGCGAGTTGCATGTTATGCTTTTAAGGCACCGTGGCCCTGCCAGCCTGCAAACGTGGCCCCGAGGGCCCCTTGGGACCTGCTCAGAATTGTGCGAAGCGTCACCGGGACCTAACGGCAGGACCTTTGCACCAGACCAGCCGCTCCCTACCCACGCGCTCCAACCCCTCCCCCCAGCCCCTGACAACCACTCATCTCCTTCCTCTGGTTTTAGAAAACGGGGAAAACAGACCTAAAAAAGGGAGGGAGGAAGGGAGAGAAAGGCTAAGGGACAGAGCCCACTAGGGAGCCACAGAGACATGACCCGGCTCTTTCCTCCCTCCCGCCCCAGGCTGAAGCGGTGCCGGGTGGCCAGCGCCGCCTGCCAGGACCTCGCAGCGGCTCTGATGGCCAACAGGAACCTGGCCAGGATGGACCTGAGCAGCAACGGCCTCGGGCTGCCCGGCATGAAGCTGCTGTGTGAGGGGCTCCGGCACCCCAAGTGCAGGCTGCAGATGATCCAGTGAGTCCCACCCCTGGAACGAGCTCTCCCGGGCTCGAAATCTCTCCCCCCGTGCTGGTGATCCCCGAGCCTCGACCTGGAAATTAGGGCTGCCCTTGGACCCATGCCCTGGGCTCCCTGCACTTCCGAGAACCTCCTTCTGGTTTCCTCTGACCCCGCCACTTTCGCCCGGTGAGGAATCCTGGGGCCACCTGCCCACCCGGGACCCACAGGCAGGGGTCCAGGCTGGTCAGAGCCCCAGAGCTCCCGAGCCCAGGCCTGTCCTAAGGTCCCCTTTCCTGCGACGCCACGGTGCTAGAAAAGCCACCCAGTTTCCCGCCTGTGTGTCGTCACTGCTCACACAGAACACCTCCCTTCTGACACTTCCGGTCACCAACGGTGTGGCGGTCTCCCCAGTCCCCCTCCACCACCACCAAGCAATTCTGTCTGACCAGCCAGGCGCCCTGCCGTCTAACTTAGTTCTGACACTACCTTACCTGGAAACAGTGTCAGACCCTGTAGGTCCCACAAGACTGTCCCCACCCCGATGTCAATCTCAATTTGTGGTCTGTGCTTCCGGCCACCTGGCGATAAACTGGAGGTGACCATGACCATGACCCGCTCCGCTCCCCTTGGGCTCAGTTCATTTGCTGGAGCGGCTCACAGAACTCAGAACACGTTCATCCGCTTCTTAAGGAAACGGACGCAGGACAGAGGTGAACGGTCTGATGGACAGATACCTGGGGCCAGGCGGGGAGGGTCCCGGGTGCGGGGGTCTCTGTGCCCGTGGAGTTGGGGTGCATCAGCCTCCTGGGGTGTGTGTTCACCAACCTAGAAGTTCTCCAAGCCCCACACGAGTGGGATTTTCTGGAGCCTTCCTCACGTCGGCGTGGCCGGTCATTGGCTCCATTCCCAGCCCCCTAATCACAGCTTGGTCTTCCTGGTGACCAGCCCCCATCCAGGAGCCCACCCTGAGGCGCCTCATCGAACAAAGGTCCTGCTGTCACCTAGACACTCCCAGGGATTTCGGACGAAGGGGGTCAAAGGCCACACGTTAGAACAAAAGGGGCTCCTGGTGCCCTTATCTCTTGGGAAATGAGAAGGGATCCAGGAGCTCTGGGCCAGGAACCGGGACAGCGGCCACCGTGCGCATTTTCTGTTATCTCACAGCAGCCACCCTCATCCTGTCCCTCTGTCGAGCTCCTGCTTAGCCCCCCAGAGCTGGCTCAGGGTCCCAGGGGAGCCTTGCCTCGCTGCACCCCTCAGCTGCGGCCTCGGCTGTGATGGTTTTGATAGACACCAGCTCAGCTGACTGAGCACTGTCCCCAGGTGCTACACTGTGAGGTCAGCACTATTGGTGCCCTTATTTTATTTTTTATTGATTTGAGAGAGAGAGAGAGAAAAACATCAATTTTTGTAGCTCCACCTATTTGTGCATTCATTGGTTCTTACTTTTTTTACAAATGCATGTTGTTTTTCTTGCTTATTTTTTTAATCACCATTTATCCCCTCTATACCCTGTTCCACCTGCCCCCCCCACCCCCCGGTTGAATCTTGTATGTGCCCTGACCAGGGATCGAACCTGCAACCTCGGCATATGGGGCTGACTCTAACCAGCTGAGCTGCCCGGCCAGGGCTTTACTACCCTTATTCCAGACTCAGTGAACCCGAGTCACATCACACGAAACCTAAATCTGAGACTTGACGAAAACTTGCTTGAGGTCCCAGGGTTAGCGGGTGGCGGCCGTGGAAGCAAACGCAGGTCACCGAGCTCTAGCGACCCCACTCTGAACTGGCAGGTCACTGTGCCTCGACGGCCCGTCTACACTGGGCGGTCATGGCTCAGCCGTCTGTCTTGTGACAGGACGCTCCTGGCCGGAACGGTGGTGTCTCAGTGATCTCTGCAGCTTTAGTGACACGTGGGGGCTGGTGCTGGGTAATCAGACAGGCCGGGGGGTGCCCCATGGGGAGGCAGGAAGGCAAGGTGGGCCCTCGCCCCTGTTTCTCTCCTCTTGAGGCTGAGGAAGTGCCAGCTGGAGGCCGGGGCGGGCCAGGAGCTGGCCGCGGTGCTGGGTGCCAGCCGTCACCTGGCGGAGCTGGACCTCTCGGGGAACGCGCTGGAGGACGCGGGCCTGCGGTGGCTGTGTCAAGGCCTGAGGCGCCCGCTCTGCAGGCTGCAGGTCCTGTGGTGAGTGTGTGGGGCCGTCCCCAGAGGCACCTCCCCGGAGATTGAATGAAGGGACAGAAACGCGCTCAGAGCAGCGCCACTGCAGCAGCCCCGAGGTGGAAATGCCGCAGTGTGCTGTGTGCAGGCGCTGGAGTATTACTCGGCCTGGAAAAAGGAGATCCTGACACGTGCCCTGGCCGGGTGGCTTAGCTTACCGGCCGCGGTCCTGTGCAGCAGGGAGCTGCCGATTCAATTCCTGGTCAGGCATAAGCTTGGGTTGCGGCTCGATCCCCCTAGAGGGCGGGCAGGAGGCAGGCCATCCGCGGTTCCCTCTCACATTGACGTTTCTCTCTCTCTCTCTCTCTCCCTCCCTCCCCCTCTCCCTTCCTCTCTCTCTCAAAAAAAATTAAGAAAAAGAAAATGGTTAGAATGGTAACTCTTATGTTGTGCATTCTATTGTATACATATATTATATTTTGCCCATCCAGTCATTCATCCATCAGTGGACACTTGGGTTGCTCCCATCTTCTGGCTATTTTGAACAATGCTTTTACAAACACGGGTGTAAAATATTTCAGCCACTACTTCCAATTCTTTTGGGTATGTAACCAGAAGTGGAATTGGTAAATCATATGGTGGGTTGGGTTTTTTTTAACCGATTTGACAGAGAGACACGCACACACATGCATCGATTTGTTGCTCCACTTATTTGTGATTCGGTCCTTGGTTCCTGTACGTGCCCTGACTGGGGATCGAACCTGCAACCTCGGTGCATCAGGACAACGTTCTAACCAACCGAGCCACCCGGCCAGGGCTCATGTGCTTATTTTTAATTTTAGAGGAACTGCCACATTGTTTCCCACAGCGGCTGTGCCATTTTACATTCCCACCAACGGGGCACAAAGATTCCGATTTCTCCACCTCCTTGTCGACACTTAGTATTTTTTTAAATAATAGCCATTCTAAAAATAATAATAATAGCCATTCTATTGGATATGAGGTGACATCTCATTGTGGCTTTGATTTGTATTTCCTTAACGATTAGTGATGTTTAGCGTCTTTTCGTGTGATCTGTTTTTTTGTGTCCCTTCTCTGGAGAAATGTCTATTCAAGGACATTGCCCATTTAAAAATATATATATATATATGTTGAACAGGTTAAAGATATGTCACCTCACTGCTGCAGCCTGTGAAGACCTGGCCTCCACCCTCACTGTGAACCAGAGCCTCATGGAGCTGGACCTAAGCCTGAATGACCTGGGGGACCCCGGGGTGCTGCTGCTGTGTGAGGGCCTCAAGCACCCGCAGTGCAGACTCCAGACGCTGCGGTGAGTCCAGCTTTGCCCCCATCCTAGGAGTGCGAATGCACAGTCCTTGCCCTTTCTAAGTCGGCTCACTGGCGCCGTGCTCCCTCTCCTCCTCTCCTGACCTCCAGCTCCACCTGCCTCCTTCCAAAGATCTTCCTGCCCCAGGGCCTTGGCACCTGCAGCCCTTTCGTCTTGGAATTCCTTTCTGTTCTGCTGTCCTGTCTCACCCTGATAGCATCTGTTTTATCTGCTAGGACTCAGAATAAATGCTTCTTCCCCATAGACGCTTTCCACAACCCCTTAATAGTTTTATGATGCCATATGACCTCATGCTTTGCCTCAGCATCCCTTATCTAGATTTGTCACCGTGTGTCTGTGGTACCCCCAACGTGCAGGGGCTGTGCCAACTCCATAGTCCAACCCCTGTTGTAAGATCTGGCTCACAGGTGCTTAAAAATAGTTTTAAATTTATTTACTGATGAGAATGAGAGCTTCGTTGTCCCACATATTTATGCGTCATTGGTTGCTTCTTGCATGTGCCCTGACTGGGGATCGGACCCACAACCTTGGCGTATGGGGACAACGCTCTAACCAACTGAGCCACCCGGCCGGGGCCTCTTTATTCTTAATACTGTTCTTCCCGTGTTCCTTCCTTTCTTCCGACTTTTTTTCCTTTCTCTCCCCCTGCTTGCCAGCTCCTCTCTTCCTCCCCTCTCGTTTCTCTCTCAGGGGCAAACATGGAGTCTCCTTCTTTGCACTGAGCACAGTGCCAGAGACAGGTGACCTTTTCCCGGAGGTGTCCCCGGATGTCAGCTGTGCCCTTGCACCCTGTCCCCCAGGCTCGGCATCTGCCGGCTCGGCTCTGCGGCCTGCGAGGGGCTGTCTGCTGTGCTCCAGCTGAACCACCGCCTCCGGGAGCTGGACCTGAGTTTTAACGACTTGGGAGACCGGGGCATGCGGCTGCTGTGCGAGGGCCTGCGACACCCCACCTGCAGGCTCCAGAAGCTGTGGTGAGCGGCGGGAGTCAGGACTGGCGGGGGGGCGGCCCCTGGGTGCCCGCATTTGCTTGTCCTTGCTTTTGATTGATTGATTGATTGATTGATTTGAAGGGAGGGAGGGAGGAAAGAAGGGAGGGAGGGAGAAACTTGGATTTCTTGTTCCACTTACGTAGGCATTCATTGGTTGCTTCTTGTATGCGCCCTGACCAGGGATGGAACTCAAAACCTTGGCGTGCTGGGACAACGCTCTAACCCACTGAGCCACCTGGCCGGGGCCCCTGAATGCCTCTTAAATGCCCGGCATCTCCATCTTAACCTGGACTGCTTTGGTTCTACCCTGTTTTCTTCTAAACTGGTCCCCTGACAACTACACCCTGGCTCCCCATTAGCTAAGACTTTCCAGAAGCAGCCCTTCCTGCTGCCTGAAGCACTCTTTACCTTCCACAGGCTGGACAGCTGCGGCCTCACAGCCAAAGCATGTGAGGACCTCTCCTCCACCCTGGGGGTCAACCAGACCCTGACGGAGCTCTACCTGACCAACAACGCCCTGGGGGACGCGGGCGTCAGGCAGCTGTGCCAGCGGCTGGGCCAGCCCGGCTGCACACTGAGAGTCCTCTGGTGAGAGCGCGGCCCTGGCTGGGCAGGAGGCAGGCCCCCAGCCTTGGTGCTGGGAGCAGAGGTCTATAGCTGAGACCCCCAGTTTGGGCAGACAAATCCTTCCCCCGTCGGCTCTTGTGCCTTTACCCTCTTCTGGCTGCGTGACCCTAGAGAACTCGCTGAGCATCGAGTCCCTCGTGTCACCTGAGGTTAGAACGGAGTGAGAATGTGGAATCACTCTGCCTGACCTCAAACCCCATCACTTTCAATTTTGTGATTATTTATGCAAATGATTCAACCTCAGCATCCCTGACTGTAAAATGAGAACAGATTATCAATTAAGTGAGGTTACACCAGTGAGGGACTTAAAATGGTGTGTGGCTTAGAGTGAGTCTGTTTCCCAGTGGGATTTGGTTTCAAATGAAGCAGTGGAAAGTGGATCTTTCATTTACCGATGAGAGATTTGCTGTCACACTTATTCATGCACCATTGGCTGCTTCTTGTATGTGCCCTACTGGGGATCAAACCCACAACCTTGGGGTGTCGGCCCGATGCTCTAAGCAGCTGAGGACCTGGCCAGGGCTGGAAATGAACCGACTTCAACAGGGCAAGCTGCGCGATATGTTTGATCTGTCACCTGGATGCCACAGTGGCGGCCTGGAGTAATGTTTCCCATGGTGCGCCCGCAGGTTGTTTGGAATGAACCTGAACACCATGACCCACAGGCAGCTGGCAGCGCTCCGCGGGACGAAACCCGACCTGGACATCGGCTGCTGACCGCTCGGCTGTGGCTCCTGCTCCACAGAAAGACCAGGCTCCAGGTTTCCTCGAGACGCGCCCAGGCAGAAGTCCTGTCTACGTGCCGTGGAGCTTGGAGCTCGAGGTTGGGGGATGGTGGTGCCAGGAGGGAACTGCGGGCCGGGCAGAGGCTTCCAGCCCAGGGCGATTTTGCCCCCCACCCTGTGGGCACTTGGCAGCGTCAGGAGAAATTGGGATGTCGGGAAACCAGGGATCCTGCTCGACATCCTAAATGCTTTGGGGGCCGTCTTGTGTGAAGGGGGAAGATACTGCTTCTGCAGATATACGGTGGACATTCGTGCTCTAGGACAACTCCTAAAACTCGCCCTCCAAATCCTGGCCTCCGACCCCTGCTTTTAACAGCTGCTTCTGAACCAACAGCCCATCCCCGGCAGCTGACTGAACAGGAAACCTGACGCAGTTACCCAATAAAACCCGTGGGCAACTTTTCTTCGAGCATGCATGTTGGGAGGTACCTGTGGTTTCCGGTGGAGGGAGGTTTCCTGGTCTAGCTCACAGGGCGCGGTGCAAACCCCTCGGTTGGAGTCTCAGCATCAGCGAGAGGCCCAGTAGCCCCGGCTCGGAGACACCCACTGAGCCTTGAGCGAGGTTTCAATTACCCAATTCTTGGGCCTCCCATCCACCCACCAACAAAGGACCAGCAGGGGAATTTAATGTTAATTTACCAAGACCCCACCCTGCAGTAGGTCCAGCAATGGGTGGAGGGGGGTTAACTCGAAACACCAGAGCAGGCACCGGGTGTTTTGGCTTAATTGATGTTCCTGACATTGGTTAATAGGGGTCAGGCGCGCAGCGCGAATGCAAGGCCCGTGACTTGCCTCGATAAGCACCTCAATGCAGTCCCGTATCCCTGTGCATGCCTTCTGGGCCATCACGTGGCATTCGGGAATGTGCCACTTATCTAGCTCAGCGGGATAGTTTAATCCAGTAAGTCCTATGTTTTCTGAACCACTCACTATCGTTTCCAGCTGCAAACCTCATAGCTTTAGGAAGCCGACTTGTAGCTCACGGCTCCTGTGTTGTGGGGCGGGGCAAGAACTACACAAGCCACAGGGAGGAACCTGAGCACCAATTCTAGTGATGGGCCCAAAGGAACTTTCTTTGCCAGTCCTACGGGAGAGGATTGGCAACTAGGGAGGGTTAAAGGCCCCACCCTTCACCTCCCCCCTTCCCATCCGCATTGTAATTACAAGACTTTGCACAATATCCCATTTGTACTGGGCAAAAAAAAAAAAAAGTCTTATCACACAGATGCATGGCATGAATTTTAAACTTTATTTGCTGTACGTAAACATTAAAAAATGTCGGGCTCTGGAACGCAGGAGCTGCAACGTGAAGGCGAGGTGGTTATGCATTAATTACACTCATGGGGGCCCAAGGAAACTGGGGGCTGAAAACAATTGCAATTATTTAGGGCAGGACAGGTGGCAGGCATTCTTTTTTTTAAAATATATCTTTTTATTCCAGAAAGGAGAGGGAGACAAACATCATGAATCCTTTATCAAGCCCACGACCTGGGCATGTGCCCTGACTGGGAATCAACCCTGATGGCCTGGATCCTAGGTCGATGCTCAACCGCTGAGCCACGCCCGGGCAGGCATTTCCCTCTTTAAACCCTTTTTCCAAACAGCCTCCTCGGTGCTTTTCTGAAACAGGGATACACAAAAGGGGAGCACTTTCCAGTCCGAAGCACGGTTAGTGCCCCCATTTTGAGTATCACGCTCCAGGTCTCGGAGCTCGTCTCCGGAGCCCGCGGACACTCGTGTCGGGTTTCCCATCGAGACTCTGCTAGAAAAGGCTGGAGGGGTGGACAAGAGGGGCTGGGTGACAAAAGCAGGTTATAGTCCAAGCTACAAAAGTTCTAGTGTTAGTTTACATAGTTGCACGAGGGGAGAATCGGGGTTGGTTTGTCAGGCCCCTTCCCACCAGCAGACACTCGAGGCCATTCCTTGGGCTCCGGCTGCAAAGCCCCCTGACCTCACCAGCCTGGGGGCCCTGGTGTGCCCACCGGCCACACTCAAATGTCGCAGCACTTTCCGCCTGGCACCCGGAGAGTGCGTCCACATTTGAGTGCCCCCGGCTGAGCAGCGCCCCCGAGCTCTGGCCGGGAGGCCTGGGCAGGCCCGCCTGCCCCGGAGACCGTCCCGGGGACACGGCGAGGGCCAGGAGCCTTGTCCGTCCGCAGCACCGTCTCAATCGGTGGAACTCAAAAAATGGCGGCACTTTCCTCTCACATCAGAAAGTGCCCCCACAGTTTGAGTTGCACAGGTCGAGGAGTCCTGGACGCCAGCGCCGGAGGGGACGCCTGCCGAGGATGCTGAAGGTCGCCGAGTCCTCGGGCGTGGGAAGCAGGGCAGAGGCCGAGCTACGAGGGAATTTAACCCGGGAGACCCCCCACCTCCGGGATCGGGGTGTAGTTAGGAGGGGGTTCCAGTGAGCTTAGTGCACAGGCCCACGTCACCCAGGCGAAGCTGCTTTAGAGTAGTTGTTTCAGGGTCGTGGCCCGAGGTTTAGCCTAAGTGACCCCATTTGGGGCCTGTTGTGTCCCCTATAAGGGACTTAGGAGTCCGAGTTACAGTCAATGCCTTGATCCTTACGGCACCAAGGACGCAGAGTGAACAGGGGGTCCCCACTCCCAAGAGACCCAGGGACTCAGAAGCCACCCCACTTGCATTGGTCCCAGGCCCAAGAGCCCAGGAGGGAGCAGGGCAGACACGAGGCGCATGGGCCGACTTACAGGGCTGGGCGAGGAAGGGACGAGATGAGGGGACCGGGAATGGGGTGCTGGAAGGCGGGGGAGCCCTGGTGGGCCTTCAAAGCCCGGAGGGCTCCAGGGGATCGAAGGGGTGAAGACGTGCAGGGAGGCCGGGGCAGGGTGGGGGAAACGCAGGTGATACTCACAGGCCTCAAGCGAGGAGCAGAGTGGCGTCTCTTCCCAGGAACTGGGAGGACTGGGATTCTGGGCTCCTAAATAAGCGGAGGACCCATCCAACCC